AACATGGCACAGGCAGACCAGGAGTTGGGGGGCCCACTGGGTGACGCTGGGGGTCCCTTTCTGGAGAAAGAGAGGCAGTGGGTGGCTCCTGTACCATCCACTCCAAACCAAAATTCAGTGGATCTAGAATTCTGTGACATTTTTCTGGAACCTCAGTTATTTTCATGTTAACATTCCGTTTTCTGCCATGTCAGCACACCATCTGTACTATTATTAGCAATTTCCCTCCAGTGTCTTTTACTTTAAACACACTCACTCAACAAGAAAATGTTACATCATGGCCATACGTGGAAGACCTAGATGACTTGCCACAAATAAAGGTGAGCATGGAAGGTGTGTCACTGCATTTTTAAAAAAGTAAAATGATGGCAAACATAAGAAGAGAATATCTAAACTAATAAAAGACAAAGATGCTAATTGACCATACCTTCACTACGCCCACCAGCCAATCAGAAGATTATGCAAATTAACCCAAGAAAAATGGCGGTTAATTTGCATATTCAAGCACCCAGTGAAGACTGAAGACAGTGTAGAAGGAGCCAAACATTGCAGAAGGAAGCCAAGCAGCGGTGAAGGGGACAGATCGGAGGTAGCAGGGACGGGAGCAGAGCTGAGGCAGTGAACATGGCAGGGAGCGAAGTGGCGGAGAAGGGAGGGAGTGAGGTGGTGGAGACCGGAGAGAGGTGAAGCAGAGGACACCGGAGGGAGCCGAGGTGGCGGACACAGGAGGGAGCCGATGCAGCAGGGAAGGGAGGGAGCCGAGGTGGCAGAGAAGAGAGGGAGCCGATGCAGCGGGTAAGGGAGGGAGCCAAGGTGGCAGAGAAGGGAGGGAGCTAGGCGGTGGAGACGGGAGGGATGCCTTCCTTGGTGGGCTTGGCTCCCTTCTCTGAAGCTATATTCTTGCAGGAGTGGCCTGAGGAAGCCCTATTCTTGCAGGAATCTTCTTGCAATGGGCCCCTAGTGGACATTTAAGTAATAACACCACTAATTGATTTACAAAAGTAGAGACTCGAAAATAAGTTACCCAACAGGGAAAGTGGATGGTGGGTGGTTAGTAACATAAGGGCAGGGACACCTTGTCCACCACCATGACCACCAGTTAGGGGACCAGGCACCGGCTTGATCAAGGGTCACTCTTACTGCAGCCAATTCATTGAGCCTCAGGGAACCAGATAAGGATTTTTAACCTATGCCCAGTGTGGGGAAGAAAGGATAGCTACACACTTATGGACTCAGGCTCTGGAGCCAGACTGCCCAGGTTCATGTCCCAGCTCTGTCTCCTGGGCCCCAGCTTCACAGGCGTGATACCCAGCAGTCACACAGGGATCCTCCGTTGCTTGAACTCTGCTTGTCGCCATCTTAATATTTTTTACAATAAGGGTGTTTTTTTGTGGTTTTATTTTTGCACAACAAATTATGTAGCTGGTCTTATCTGTCACTTACTAGTTGAATTTTCTTGAGCCTAGGGTTGCTGTGAAGATTCTTTGAATATGAAAATTTATTATGAAGACACAATTTCAGTTACTATATTATTACAGCATTTAAAGGTATAATCGCCAGATTAACCTAAAGGCTGCCGTCAGCTCCAACCTTTTGACGAGCCACCGACCAGCCATCTATCAGTTCATCCATTTACTACCACTGCCAATCACTTGTTGGGGACCATGAAAGTGAATGTGACCTTGGTCCTGACCTGAGGAGCCCATGGCCAAACAGCCAAGCCTCTGGCCACTGGCTAACACACCTTCCTTCCCATTCCTGGTGCCAGTGTACAGGTGAGCACAGGTGAGCTGGCAGCCACAAGGACTGAATTGCTACAGCCACCAGGATCTGAAAACAGACTCCAGTTCCTGCGGGTACACTCGGCTGTGCCAGCTGTGTGACCTTGGGGAGGGCATTCCTCCCACTGAGCCTAGGATGCCTTTCCCTCCTTGGCCGGTTTTGCTCAGTGGATAGAGCGTCGGCCTGTGGACCAAAGGGTCCCCGGTTTGATTCCGTCAAGGGGCACGTACCTCTGTTGCAGGCTTGATCCCCGGCCCTGGTCAGGGCCGTGTGGGAGGCAACCAATTGATGTGTCACTTTCACATCAATGTTTCTCTCTCTCCCCCTCTAACTTCCATTCTCTCAAAAAAATAAAAAATCAATGGAAAAATATCCTTGGGTGAAGGCTAACAAAATAACCACCTCCCTATGCTTGGCTTGTCAGAAGACAGAGAGGAGACGTGGGCTGTGAACAGGTTGGATCTGTCACTTGGGGCTGTGTGGATGGCTACCACCAGATGGAGGGTCCTCAAAGGGCATCCCCTATCCATGCCTCTGCTCAAAGCCTCAGGCCTCTCCCGGCTCCCGGAATGAGGGGCAATGTATGTCTGAAAGAACTGGTTTCATTCCCTGGAACTTGGGGAGCGTGGAAAGCAGCTGTAGGCAGGTGCAGAGGGACAGGTGGTAGAGTGTGGTCAAGAGGTCAGTACCCTTCCCGCACGGAGGGGGTCCATCTGGGGATGGCCAGGAAATGCTGAAGAAAGAACCCCATCTTAGGGGAAGGAGGCCTCAGTTCGGCTCCAGTAGTTGAGACAATGACTCTGGGTGACTGGGAGCCAGGTTCTTGCCCTCTCTGGGCCTCCCTGTGTCCACATGTAGAGGTGGTCAAGTGGCCACCTTGCTGCTCTTCTAGCTTGAGTTCGGTAGGAGACACTGCCAATGCTTGGCTCATGTCCCCTCTGTGCTCACTGCCCATTCCCCCCTCCACACACACACACACCCTGCTGGCTTCTCTCTATGGGAACCTGTGACTCTGCCCGAGGGCTTTCTCCATGGAGCAGAGCAGAGAAGCCCCTGATGAGTGATAGTGTGACTGTGCCAACCATCCACCAGGAGGATGGGGTAGACTCCAACCCAAGACACAGACACTGACTTGGTCACCGAAAGAACATTATTTCCAAAATTAAGGCTACAGGTGTAGATGCTCCCCCTTCCGTGGTCTCTGTCCACTCCCACCAGACACTAAGGTACCTTTTTGGCCATAAACACCTTCTGTAGAATTACCTCTAAGCTCCCCCAGATCGTGGAGGCTGGATGGGCCTCCCCTTCACAGCTCAATATGCTCTGTTTGGGGTGACATCCTGGCTGTGTCCTGGGCAAGGAGCTCGGTGAAGAACGCCACTTCCTCATGTTTCAGCTTCTGGGCTGCCTGGGTGGGGACCCCAATCTGCAGGTACCCTTCCTTCTGGTCATACACGGGCCAATGGGGCAGCCCCTCCCCGTTGGGGTT